TGCTAGCCGGAGTTAAACCACAGCACTGCCCCAACAGAAAAATCAGGACAGTTCACACAAGTTTAAGTCACTCAAACAGTTGGGTTAATAATGGATGTAAATTGTAAAGAATCTGGTTTCCTAGAATTAAGCTGAAAATCCTCGGGAGCCATCAGTTACTGCTTTACCTTTTCCTACACTAAGGCCACAGAAAAAGTAACCCCTTACTGCTCCGTGAGGTGCGCGTGCCGCTGGCTCACTGCGACGCACTAGCAGCAATTAAACATGCTCTCAGCAACACGCAAAGTTCTCTTCTCCCTCCTGCAGAAGCACGTAAGGTGTTAAAACTCTGGTCACCTTTAAGGACCTTCCCAACTAGTGGTTCCTTGGCAATTCTTTCGAATGAATGAGCCTTCCTTACCTGTCCCGACTTGAAACCTAACTAGGAATTTTCCCCTTTTCTTGGTTTGGTGGGGTCCACGAGCAACGCTGCTGCTGGGGGAGGTTTGAAGTAGGATGGTAACTGCTCAGATGCTAAAGTGAAGTTGTTTAAAAGCCAAGGCAAGAAAAGCAACCAGAGAGATTTGACTGTGTACCTTAAATATTTTCAGGTTGTTCTGTGCCTCCTGTAACAAGCTCTTCAAAGCAAAGTGCATTCTCTGTTTATTTCTGCAGGGAAAAAAATAAATCCAGGAATGTCTTATGACAGCCTTTGGATTTTACACCCATGTCTAGAGGGCTCCACGGAATCAGAACCGGGCACCCAAAGCGAACACACCCATTGCAAGCACGTGGCTCACGCTCAAGTCACCGCAAAGACCGAGTGAGCATTTGCAATTAGAACTTCAAATCTGAGTAAACTAAAGAGCTCTGAGGTTTCGTGTTACGAGGGAGAAGGCACCAGTGCCTTAGAGAGCAATGCTGACTCCTGACATAGGCGTGAAGCGACACCTCTGACTCCTGACGTAGGCGTGAAGAGGTGTACAGCACCAGCAGTACCCTAAGTCGGACGAGCAGGCATTGGTCACCCTTAACACTACAGTGAGAGGCAAAGAAACTGAGAAAGAACAAAGACGTGGGATCAAGTCGCACGCTGCCTTACCCTGAGAAGAGATCCAATGGGCAGTATTTACTCGGCCGCTTCCACTTTCCGTTTGCTACCTGTTGAAAAGCCACACCACGGCTGTTAGTTGCTTCCTGGAATAACTACGCTGAGTTACTTCAGTTGTCAGGTGTGCAGCCTGAACAGTCTGTCTTCACAAGTCCTACAGCACTTAAAACCCTCCCAACGTACGAGTCGTGACTATGAGGGGTCTTCCTCATCACATGTAGCGTGCAAGTGACTCACAGATGGAAAGCATGGAGAAAGGTCACGTGATCTACAGCAAGTTAGAGCATTTTGGACACATCGTGGCCATCAGTCATAGAATCACAGAATGGTTTGGGTTGGAAGGGACCTTAAAGACCATCCAGTTCCAACCCCCCTGCCATGGGCAGGGACACCTTCCACTAGACCAGGTTGCTCCAAGCCTCATCCAGCCTGACCTTGAAGTCATCCATAGATGGGGCATCCACAGCTTCTCTGGGTAACCTGTTCCAGTGCCTCCCCACCCTCTCTGTGAAGAACTTCCTCCTGATATCTAATCTAACCCTCCCCGTTCCCCCTTGTCCTGTCACTACAGGCCTTTGTAAAAAGTCCCCCCCAGCTTCCTTGTAGCCCCTTCAGGTACTGGAAGGCTGCAATGAGGTCTCCCTGGAGCCTTCTCTTCTCCAGGCTGAACAACCCCCCAGCAAATGTGCTCCAGCCCTCTGAGCATCTTCGTGGCCTCCTCTGGACTCACTCCAACAGGTCTATATCCTTCTGATGTTGTGGGCTCCACAGCTGGATGCAGCACTCCCAAACGAATTCCATGCGTTACATGCTGTTTTAAGTTACAGAATGCCACTGTGCGCTGCTGAGCTGTGCCTGAAAGGAATCTGACCCTGGCGTCGGCCCAATCAGTAGCATCAATACTCCTCAACGACTAATCTCGCCTTTGTTTGCTTCCAGCTTCCCAAAGAACTTGTTCCATCTCTCACTAAACAGATTCACACCCAGCAACTCAGGTGTGCATCCGCCTACTCTCTTTAGTCACGTCAGGGATTTGAGCAACGTCACGAGAACAGGACTGGGACAGCAAGTAAGGCATGGCACAGAGGAAAGCAGGATGGCTAAAAAATTACCTTGAGATGCTGATGCATACAGTAACGACACACCTTGTGCTTTACCTCCTGCGAAACATGGCTAGAAAAAGGGATGAAGCCACACTTTGGCTAAAACAAACAAACAAGCACAGGTTATCAACCAAATGGGTTTCTTCAGATAAGGGCACGCAATATGCAAATCTTTCCAATTAAAGAAAACTAAAATACTCAAACCAGCCAGTCAACATCCAACATTTAAGAGCCTAACATAAGTCACTGTGTATTACTCCCAACCATTTTAGAGCCCTCACTTAGGGACACACAAAACTGCTGTGCCCTACAAAAAAGCCCCGTAAGATCTGGGAATTCCCCAGGTTTCAAATGCTCAGGGATTACCAAAGGAATATTTCATCCCGTGGGTCCCAGTGAAAGTGGTGAGCTCTGCCTTATCCCACTGCTGCGCTCCCCGTACTCCGAGACCCCCAGCAGGATCCCCTCCAACTGAGTACCTTAATCTCGATGCAGAGGATGGGCCGGTGCTCCACAAAACGGTAGGTCTGCAGCCTGGTGAGATTGGGAAGGCACATGGCATAACCGCTGAGAGTGTCCATGTCTTTATCACAGCGAGACTCTGGAGGAAACACAAACCCGACACGAACGTCAGGTGTGTGGCGTTTTACGCTGCGGTGGTGTTCCTCTCACCAGGCTGGGGGGGGGGAAGGGTGGAAACGCACTCAGATGCAGCGCAGCAGGCGTTAGCCAGTCACCCACTTGTGTACATTTGCCTCCTCCCCCATTACCAACACCAGCTTTCTGTTTCCCAGGGCTGCCCCAGGCATAGAGGGCGTCAAGAGCTGCTTCTGAAGGTGGGTTTCCAGCTCCTCCCCAGAAAGATGCCGGTGAGAGATGGAAGCCACAGAGGAAGGCATTCACTTGGCCTCCAGAGGCAAAGACACTTCTTACTGTGACCAGAGATGTGACCTCACGTCACTTATTGAAACCACATGAAGCACCGTTCCTCTGTGCAGCCACGGGGAAGCTGGGAGACCCGTCAGAACGTGGCGAGTCGTTCAGACGTCCAGGAGAACGTGTAAAGCTGAACAGAGCCCGCAGCGGCTTCGCTCCTTAGTCTGTACGTAGCCTCTTCCTATCCATGCCCGTGTTTACATCAAAGTAACAAAGCGGCGAAAGGGAACACGTAAGGAACAAGTTACCTTCCCCCCCTCACTATCTCACAGCATAGAGCACGAATTTCCTTGGCTAACAACACCCTCTTAAAACCAGCATTTTTAATATAGTCCTGAGAATAAACAAAGCAGCAAAATGGTTTCAGATTAAGAGGCATTATGTAGATAAAGCCTGTAAATAACCCCTCTCCACACACCCCCTTGGGACTGAGAAAGGTCTGCGAGACTTTAACAACAGCATACACCCCTGGATTTTCATCTGTATTACTAAAAAAGTATCTGTGTTACTAAAAAAGAAACCACCTTTCTCCAACAAAGTGCTGGGGTGCGTTGTCCCTCTCTAAAAGTACATCCATATTCAGCTGAAAGCCACGTGCCAAATCACAGACCCAGAGATGTGCAGATACTGCTACTGGACCAAACCGTCAAGTGATGGCAGGGGGAGGAGCGGAACTTGGCTTGTCAGGGTATGATTGCCCAGAGATTCTTTGGTCCAGGGTCCCTCTCTGGAGACACCCAGCTCGAGCTGTCATCACCACTGCACCACTCAATAAATTCATCTGGCCTACTTCACGTCAGAGATTCTGCTTGGAAAACCGAGGGGTGAGCCTCAGCGAAGAGGAAATGCCTGAGAGTGAGTGTGTGAGGAGTCGAGAGGGCACCCCTCAGCTCAGAATCACCCGCTACGGAGGGACTCTGGTCCCAGCAGCAAAAGCCTCGGGTGGCGAGTTCACAGCTCCTGGACTGGTAATTCTAGAACACACACAGTTTTCCACAACACATTTTCAACATGTTATTGTCCAAATGCTGGAAAAAAAGGGTCCCCATATTCTGAGCCATGATGCTTTATTTTATCCGACAGCACAACACTTTGCAGCTTGAGGAAGGCCCCTCTTCAGTGCTACCCCCGGTGCTTACCTGGCCTCTCGGGCTGAATTTTTAAACAGAGCTGTCTTACGAAGTCTAAAGGCAGCTGAATGATTTCCTGTTAAGGTAAAAAAAGACAGTTATTTCAGCACAAAAATGAATACCCAGTTTGGGGGTCTTACCTTGGAATACCCAAGTTCAGTGGATGTTAACAGCACACTAAACTCTATAACCTCTGACTGACCCCTATACACGCAATAATTACTCCCCTGTGAAGCCAAGGACTAATTTAAGTAAATACACAAAAAAAAGAGCCTTTTCCGTGCAAGTGTAACGTGTATGAAGAAACCTGCATCATTTGGTCCTTCTCACAAGTGAAAGAGTCTCACCTCGCCCCATTCCACGTCTCACCCCCCACCCTTCCACAGCAGAACTGCGTGACTCAAGTTCCAGGTATCCGACACCCAGGTAACTGGATCTGGCCGCCAGAACAATAGAAGGAGTGTCACAGAAAGGCACTGCCTCTGAGTGCACAGAAACCTGGAACAGATTTCTCTTTTACAATCTGATCACCTCGTCTGCACAGAGCAGGACCTTTGTTCTGATCCGAATGCTGCTGGTCTGTGCATCTCGCTCGAGAAGGCCTGCAAACCCTAGGAACTCCCTCTACCGGCCGTCAGTGCCCCCCAGGACATGCCAGGGTTTACAAGGCACAAGCCATTTATTTCAAGAGTAAAACATTTACCCCATGGTGAACGTAGTTCTCCCCAAAGAACTGCTTCATGACATGCTTTCCAAAGTCTACAATGTTTTGCAGATGCTGTAGTATTTCCTCTGAAGTCTGCAAGACAGAATCATGGTAATCAGCTATGAAATAATGATAAACAACACTTAAGAACATGTACACATACTAGGCAGTGATTCAGCAAAGTGGCTTAATTGCACTGCCAAGTTTGGTAGGCCAGTGCACGCTGAAATTAAACACAGCCATGAAACATGTGCTATGTTTGTTCCCCTATGCTGTCTGAGAGGCTGGGATAACCAGGGAAAGGCCAGAAGGGATGATTCTTCTTGAGATTCAGGGGAAAAAGGACAGAGAAAATGAAAAAGGTGGAAAAATCATAGAATGGTTAGGGTGGGAAGGGACCTTAAAGATCATCTAGTTCCACCCCCCCTGCCATGGGCAGGGACACCTTCCACTAGGTCAGGTTGCTCAGAGCCACATCCAGCCTGGCCTTGAACACTTCCAGGGATGGGGCATCCACAGCTTCTCTGGGCAGCCTGTCCCAGTGCCTCACCACCCTCTCCGTGAAGAACTTCTTCCTGGTATCTAATCTAAACCTCCCCACTTTCAATTTAAGAAGAGGGGGAGACTACTCGAGATGTACTCTGTCTGACCATTGTTCACAGAACAGCTAGAGGAAGCATAACCGTCAGGCCAGACGCGCAGCACCTTACCAACAGGTGAAGTGCAGGGGAGGCTATGAGTGGTACAGACTACATCACCTGGAGATTCAGAAGAGAATGGTCACAGAGACTGAGCGTCATGACCACCCTCTGCATGAACAGGCACAGAATTTGCCATCTGTCCTGAATCCTGCCCCAGACAAAGAAAAATCTCACTACAGCATCATCTTCCATTAATTTTATGTGTCTGTAAGGAAACACCGAAGTTCTCCTACAAGACAAAACTGCAAAGCTAGACAGCAACAAAGCTAAACAAGTCCTGGAAGCGGGACAGGGACATGAGCGCAGTCTGACTCTGACAGACGTGCGCTCATTAAAGATTTACAACAGCATTATCCCGTTCCCAGCATGCTCTGCTTCTCCGCATGGTATTTTGTTGATAGGACAGACAAGCTACAAGCTCCCTTTGTGTCCCTTGGTAACACACAGCTTTTCTGGAAAAAACACTACCTCACCTACCACTGTACACTATAAGGCACTGAACAACACAGATTTACTCTTGGGGTTGAGTAACAGTGAAGGAAGAGAAAGTACAACACTCGTGTCCAAGTTAGAAAATCAGAGAGGAAAAAGAACATGAGCTGGAGGAAAAAAACCCAAACCAGAGCAGAGTAAGAGACAATAAAATGCTAGAAGAACACTCACATAATGACAGAGCCTAGAGACAGGAGGAAAGGCCATACCCAACACAAATAGTAAGTGTTTATAGGTAAAAGGAGACTGCCACAAGCCAGGCAACCGTATTTGTTTTACAATACCATCATAATAGGTAGATTTTCCCCCACCCGGAAGGGTTTGTTACCTAACAAACTTAGACGGGTTTGTTTCTGTAACACAGGTCTGCTAGGACTAGGCACCAGGTTTGATACTCTAGCGGGATTCGTTTTCCGGTCTGAAGCAGCAATTCTGTGGTGGTGCATTTCCACCCCTCTTAACTCCTGGACAGCTTTATGGCCTTAGAGATTCCCATCAAACCTCAGCCATTGTGCAGGGAGTTTGGTGGTTAACCTAAGCGCCCCTTATCATACCAAAGCACTCCTGCACTGCCAAGGTGGGGAATGGCTGAACTCAGGGTCAGTTGCCTGGTTATGGTGGGGGATGAGAGTGAAATAATTCATCCTCTGCCAGCCCTGAACCTTATCACAGTCTGGGTAGATGGGTACCAGCTGGGAATTCCAATGACCACCTGCCCCAGTTAAGGCCAGGATGCACAATTATTTATGCCTAGAGTCAGTTATCTCGCAACCCTATAAATAGTGGTTCCATGGATGACCCTTTCAGCTCTCCTGGACCGCAGCGGCTGTGCCCAGCATCTCCCTCGGAGTGGGACGCCGCTTGCGAACTCTCAACTTTGCGGGTTCAGAGGACCGCCGCTCAAGAGCGACAAAAGGGCGGTGGCCCTTGAGGCTTAACTCTGCGCCCGTTGAGAGAGGCACTGACATCCGACGTGAATATTTTCACCAAACTCAAGGGGAAATTTTAACAGGTACCTTCATACAAATATACGTATAGTCTATGTCTCTATTTCTATATCTGCGTGTGTGAGTGTGTGCGTGCAGCTGTATGTCAATAACTTTGTTAACCCTGTGATGAAGTTACTGTACTGATTTATTGAGAGTTAAGTCCTGCTGGGGAATTGTGTGATCTATTTGTGTGGCGTATCTGAATACTGTTGTTACTTTGATTTATTGCTGCTCCACACTGTTGCTGTCCCAAAGTTTCACACCAAGCACAAAACTCCACACACTATGATTGATCTCTTCCCCAATCCCTCAGGCATAAACCACTGACCACGTCTGGGACTCGGGGTGGATTCAGCCACACCTAGACTTCTCTTTTGAGGAGTTTAGACAGCAAGGGCGTCCACTCTGAACCTCGTGACCGGAGGAGAGGAATCTCCTTGCTCCTTTTCCTAGTCCATATCACAACAATCTAATCCTGCATTGATTCCCCTGACTCAGTAAATAATTTTTAATTCATGTACAAACTATTCTAACCCGTTGCTAATTCGATTTCACCATTGTATGCTTTTCCATGTCGAATAAGTAGTAGAGGGGACCTTGCCATCGAATTCTGTTAAGTCACACTTCTCAAAAATTCATATCAAAATAATAGCTTTTCCCCTAATATTTGTGACACTGATCTTTAAACAGCCTACACCACTCAGCATAGTCCCCGTTTCGTGACAGATACACCGTGCTGCAAGATGCAATAATGCTTTACAGAAAAGAGAGTCCCTGCAGTAACATACAGCACCACATACTGCTACTTCAGTACGCAAAGCACTGACCAAAACACCTGATCCTTTGGAGCAAGCAGGAAAGTATGGGTTTGCCATGGCACTTGAACAGCATCCCTATCACTCTGCAAAGGCCAGGGCGAACTGGCCATGCATACTGCACGTGGAGTCGTTTCACACAACGCCTCTCCCTGAATCCTGCTGAGCCAACAGAAGCAACCTACTGCTTGAGTCTTCGAAGAAAACATGCACTACAATGCCTGAGTAACTCCCTTGTTGCAGTCACTTGGTCTGAAGAAGCACAACAGGACGTGTGAGCAGGCCACCCACTGGGTAGGCAAAAGGCAGGTTTACAGCAGCGTTGCACCATCTGCGCTTCCCAGGGGCTGGCCATGCCCAGACCCATCAGAGAGGGGTGCCAGCAGCCCCAGCTCCTTCATCCTCACAACCAGAAGGCAGGAGACAGTGCTGGGCAAGTCCTTGTTGTGTCCCGTCCCACCCCAGTGCAGACCACAAACCCGCTGTAGCCACCTTCCCTTAGGTTTCACAGGTTCCAGGCTGGGGAGGAAGTTGCCTTTCAGAGGGGATCCCTCTCTGGGAATTTAAAAGATCAGTAGTTACAGTTAAGCACCTTCCTCACCTGATGAAGTGGGAAACAGCAATTCTGAGCACCTACTATAGCAAAAAACACAGTTTATTTACAGATTTCTGCCCTTTTAATGACAATGTAACGCTCTCTAACTCATACAAAGTTAACAGTGAGAAGGAATGGTACATCATCTTGTACAGTAACAGAAATCTCAGGCAATTCCCACTCACAGATTATTCTGACCTTGTTTGTTGATGTACACAGTACCCACAGGCTTTTTTTTTTAACAGATATACATATACACATACACATATCAGGAAATAAGCATTTTGGAAAAACAGGACAGTCACTGCTACTAGAATCATAGAATCACAGGATGGTGTGGGTTGGAAGGGACCTTAAAGATCATCCAGTTCCAACCCCCTGCCATGGGCAGGGACACCCTCCACTAGACCAGGTTGCTCCAAGCCTCATCCAGCCTGGCCTTGGACACAAGGGAACACATCAGGGATGGGGCATCCACAGCTTCTCCGGGCAACCTGTTCCAGTGCCTCCCCACCCTCTCCAGGAAGAATTTCTTCCTGATATCTAATCTAAACCTCCCCACTTTCAATTTAAACCCGTTACCCCTTGTCCTGTCACTCCCTGCCCTTCTAAAAAGTCCCCCCCGGCTTCCTTGTAGCCCATTCAGGTACTACTACTACTACACAAGGAAAGACTGGCTACTTAAAAAGATCGATACTTTAAAATCACAAATCCAGTTCATGACACCTGCTCAACTCCTTTGAAGAGCGAGTGCATTTGATGACTCTAAACAAGAAACAAAAACCAACTCACAGGCTACTGGAGCATCACCTTCAACGTTAAGAAGCACTAAGATGAAAAGCTCTTGAAGGATCTGCCACCACTGCCAGCCTGTTTTGCTGAACACTACAACTCCTCCAATAGGCTCTATACAATAAAAAGGCAAAAACCTCATTCGTAGAGAAGACTCATCTACCAAAATTAGCAACATGCAATTAAAATCATTCAACGAGTCCTGCCACTTGACTTTCTACTCAGGAAATACAAGCCCTGGAGTTACCTTAGTGACTGTAAGGGTTTTTCATTAAAACACGGAATTGTAACGCCATTTGCAAGGACACCACCGTCTGTAAACACGTTACCTAGTCCCAGGTTCATAACCAAACCATACAAACACAAGGCGGTGCCCAGGCTTCTCTCCCTCTTCCACTGGAGTTAAGCAGACTGCCACGCACGTGCCCGCACCTGGATTTCAGCAGGCGCTGTATCTGAGAGCGCTTCGCTTCAGCCGCTGCTTTCAGAGCCCTTTACGCCGCACGACTTCATGCAGCCACGTAACGCTTCACGTCCTAACTCATCTCGCCATAGTCAGGAACACAGATTACACCTAAACCAACATTTTCTCCTCTCCAGCTGTCACGTTGCTACATCCAAGTTTGTCCCAAACTCTGATTATCCAGGACCTGTTTACCACCCTGAACATTAAATATTTAGCCTTCCATTCTGCTCCAAGAAAAGCTGACCCTTAAAAAAAAATAAATCACCAGAATAATAGATTCCAATCACATAATCTTCTATTTAGAGGGCAAAGCCAAAGGAATTGGGTATCGAAGTCCACGCAGTCAGAAGGGAAGGCAAATGCACAATGCTGGAACTGGCTACATGCCAGCTCTCCCAAACATATAGCACTCCCACGTTAACAGGGGATCCTGCTCTGGTGATGTGCGTTTATCCACCTGGCCTCAGAGAGACACTGCTTAATGCGCTTCCAGGGGCTCACTCCACCACCGCGTGCCCCCACAAACAGCCTTTTTGCTTTTACAACAGTAAGAGAGAAGCGTGTCTCTCTAGGGCAACTCTGAACGGAAGATCCGCGAACCGGTCCTAAGCCCAAACCCTTGGTGCTGCCTCAGCTGCAGCCCACAGGGATACTTACTGCGCTCCATCTCTAGGCTAGGAAGGCTTCCAAGCAATTCTACTGATCTGATTACGCAGGGAAAAACATACCACTCAAGAACCCGAGCAGTTCAGTGAATAACCGAACAGCATGCCCAGGGGATGACTTTTTTCCTTGTGTTTCGCTATCCCAATCCAAAAAACTGCAGGCAGGCCACAGCAGCCCACAGGAGTATTATCAACATCAACGCTGTGGTGGGTAACTGAGAAGTCGCTTCCTTTGTGACTTTGTCACACTACATCTGTGTTTGACAAACCATTACTGTGCAGCAATTCCTTCTGCAAGCCCGACGAGAAGGGGAAAATAGCTGGTTCTCAGTGGTTTGTTGTCTTAAATGGCAACAGACTGACTTTTTAGAATCATAGAATGGTTTGGGTTGGAAAGGACCTTAAAGATCATCTAGTCCCAACCCCCCGGCCATGGGCAGGGACACCTTCCACTAGACCAGGTTGCTCCAAGCCTCATCCAGCCTGGCCTTGGACTCTTCCAGGGATCCACAGCTTCTCTGGGCAACCTGTCCCAGTGCCTCACCACCCTCTCCGGGAAGAATTTCTTCCTGATATCTAATCTAACCCTCCCACTTTCAATTTAAACCCCCTACCCCTTGTCCTGTCACTACAGGCCCTTGCAAAAAGTCCCCCCCCCGCTTCCTTGTAGGCCCCTTCAGGTACTGGAAGGCTGCAATGAGGTCTCCCTGGAGCCTTCTCTTCTCCAGGCTGAACAAGCCCAACTCTCTCAGCCTGTCCCCATGGCAGAGGTGCTCCAGCCCTCTGAGCATCTTTGTGGCCTCCTCTGGACTCACTCCAACCAGTCTATATCCTTCTGATGTTGGGGGCTCCACAGCTGGATGCAGCACTCCAGGTGGGGTCTCACAGAGCAGAGTAAAGGAGCAGAATCACCTCCCTCGACCTACTTAAACTTGTGGTCTCATTCTCCCCTGCTGTATTAAAAACTGAAGTAGGCACTGTTCTCCTGGGTTCTTCCCTGCTCTCATAAGAACTCTGAACATCGTTATCCTGACTAAAGAAGCACAGGATAAGTTTCTGAAATCCCACCACTATACGCAGATCAGAACATGACTTGAGCCGCACTTGAATTTTACCAGACTTTCTTTCCAGTAAAGCAGCAGGAGAAAGGCCATCAAATAACTTGTATGTACACTGTGCTCATGGGCTTTACCCTCCTCTGCCTTCCTCTTACCTGCTTTGGAGGCTTCTCTCTTGCCCCTTGTTATCTGAACACGTTTCACATCCATCCTCCTGATTTAAAGGAAAACACCCTTCCTATACACTTACTTCCAGGAAAAAAAGACACGAAGATGAGTGTAAAGTAAGCCCTTCCCCCAGTTCCCAGCACAGCCACACTGCTGCCTCTGTGATGCCACTGAACCTCACAAAGCTAGGGCTCAGCAGCTGCCCTAACCCGGCCGTTCCCCCACTCTCAGGTCACACACCCTAAAGGCTGCTCACGAGGTTGAGGAAACACAGCTTGAACCTCCTGCTCTCTGCGCTCTCTTTTCCTTGCATCACTGTGTTCTCTCGCTCTGCTTCCCTCTGCCACAGTCCAAGAAGCTGATACAGAAGCACCACGTTCTGTTTGCGATAGACAGGACACTAAAATCACTCATTAGGGCTGTTCTGTGAATATTCCCTATCTTCGTCCAAATTCCCTGGCTTTTTGGCTACGGAACAGGTAGTCCACAGCAGACCTTTATCAGTCCTGCAGGGTTCCTCTTCTGTCCCACAGCCAGTAAAACTGTCAATTCTTCCTCAGCATCACCCCTCTCCCGTACATCAACGTGCAACATCCACACTTTCTCCACCACCACAGCTCTCCTTACAGGAAGCTGAACCTTCTGCCCCGCACAAAGGCCTGGCCATCAGCACTCACATCCTCTTAGTTACGTAAGAGAACCTCAGATTTCCTCCTGTTGCCACAACTCCGAAACGCAGGCACATTGCAAAACAACTCCTCGTTCTTACCCCTGGCAGCACAGCTCCTCCATGGGTTCCCCGCTTCCCCTCGGGGTGGCTATGAGCTTACCTGCGGGCTTTTATCAATCTTACCTTATTCTGGTTTGGGGGGGACTTCAGAAACCGCAGCACGACGCAGCGCTGCAGAAAGATAAGAAAGGAGATGGGTTGGTTAGCACCTAAATACATCGTCCTTTGTAAACAGCAAAATGGTCTGATTGCCCGACCTACCCGAGAAACTAAGGAGAGAAAAGAGAAACCAACCAACAAAAAAAAAGGCAATTTAGGCATTTGAAATGGTTATTTACTTCCAAAAAGTAAACCTATAGTACAGGGACAAATACAGCAGGTTTCCACATGTTTTACTCTTAAAAAAAAAAAAAAAAAAAATCACTAATTTGCCATTTTTACAACTCTCACATTCTGTAACAATCCAAAAACCTATTTTCAGAGTACACAGATTCTGAAAACATCCTCAGCCTTGAGTTCAGTACAAATACTTTGTAGATGTCCTAAGTAAATGAAACCTCTCTCCTTGAGCCTGTTGGTGTCCTCCCTCACAGAAGTCACCTGATGCATCATCTCTCAATCAAATCTTGCTGAAATTAACAAGCACACTTGCCAAACTGACTTTTTAGATGAAAACTGAGTTTTGACATAGTATTAAGGAACCTGTAGCCCTATTATAGGCAAGGCAACGCATAGCCCTTCCTCAGATTACTCAGTCTAAATAGCTGATCCTCAAGATATTTACCCTCACCAATGCACTTCGGCCTATTCAGATAAGATTGGGCACCGCGACCGGTGGAGGCCAACAGCTGTTTCCTGGAGTTACCTCTTTGTCACTCAGTGTGTCCCCATTTGGGCCTTACACCAAAAAGGGGTAAATTTGCCTTAAAGCACCACCAAAAAAGCACTGACACTCACATTCCCCGTCACAAAATGTCGTAGTGACACCTCAGGTTGATGGACTCTAAGCTTTTTCCCTACCAAATAACTTGCCATTAAAAATCCTCCCAGAGCACGACAGCACCAGAGATACTCTGTATTTCAGGGCTGAAAGCTGTCTCTGGACACAGCTGCAGTTGTCTTTAATCACTGAGCGGTAGAGAAAGAGCAGGAGGAGAAAAGCAACACAGGTGACAGCGTCTAATCCAAACCACTGCCAAAAGAAGGCCTGGATTCAGCCGTTGCTGGTGGAACCCAGAAACAGCCCCTTCGGTATGGGAAAAGTCTTGAGCCAGCACAAACCTCATAGTTCACCCACATCTGGTAAAAAACTCTCAGATAAAAGGATACTTTCATAGACTCACAGAATGGTTGGGGTTGGGAGGGACCTTAAAGCCCATCTAGTTCCAACCCCCCTGCCACGGGCAGGGACACCTTCCACTAGACCAGGTTGCTCCAAGCCTCATCCAGCCTGGCCTTGAACACATCAGGGATGGGACATCCACAGCTTCTCCAGGCAACCTGTCCCAGTTTGCCAATTACTTGACAAACTTTGCTAAATACTGATTCACCTTATCCTGCGAGATCTAAACAGCACGAGAGTTATAGCAACAAAGAGCTGTTAATCAGTCCCCAGCCAATGAGCTTCCAAGCCCCGCTCTGGAAAGGCGTTTGCGCTCACAGGATGCCTACAGTTCCGGCTCCTTACCCACTCAGCACTGAAGGGGCCTGCGAGCACCCAAGGGCCCACACGATACACAGCAGAACACCACCGTGCTTTTTGAACCATGCCAAGCACAACTTTCCGGTCAAAGATGCGCTGCGACCAGCCGGCCCGCAGGGTGGCTTGGGAAGGGGAAGTTTTTGGCCAGATACGTCCCTTGGTGTGGTTCAACACACCACTGCACAAATTCACCAGCACAGCACACAAGATGCCAACTGCTTTGGGGTTGGCACCACTGCAACACTGGGCCGTGTTTTCCATGCTACTGCCTTACTGAGTCACTCGGCTAATTCTTTACTTGGAAATACTGTGGGTGGTTGTTGCCACGAGGGTTTTTTGTCACTTATCCTAAATGCCTTCGATTTTTTAAAATATTTACAGCTTGAACATCAAAGATGTTACATGCTTATCTGGACGCAAAAGAATGGCCCAATGCATAAGAGAACAGGTTTCCTGAGAGGCTGTCACTGCTAAGAATCAGAACTAGCTCCTAATGCTCCCTACATTCCATTCTCTACATAAACCTCTAAAGCCCCTCCACTGCTTAACACCTTCTTTCTGTCAATGCACTGTTAGCAAAGCGCTGAGTTAATCAGAGCACAGTCCCACACAGACCACAAGATGAAAACGGGCTGCCAGATCAAGGAGAGAAAAAGCAGCACCGCCTGGAGGAAGGCAGATGGAACACACGGAACGCTGAGGCTTCACATCTTTCCACGAAGCATGGCAAGCTAGAAACATCGTGAATTCAAAGGAAGAATTCTGTCTCCAACCGTTTTTCCGTGCCCGGCAGCCCCTTCTCTGCACATATGTCCAGTATCCAGGTAGCCACCAAGTACTGTGACCAGAAAAGCCATCAGAGTATCACACACCACTGCTCTTACTCTCCACATAACAAATGTACGTGTGACTCTCACGTGAGAGCACAGCAGTTTGGTTACCAGTAACAAAACACCTCCTTACTGGTGCCCAGGACCAAACCAGGGCTACAACAAAAACCATTTCCAGCTGTTACAGAGAACTCCAAACAAAAGATAGCAGCAAGGGTACGGAAACTTGTACATCCCCAATCCTTGGCTGCTGAGATGATGCAATCAGGAGCTGTGTTCTGGGGGAGCACTATGTCGAGGCACTGTGTTTTCAGACTCCAGCCTTAGCCTCGAAGTCCCACCAAGGTAAATTAGCACCCTATTGTGAAACAATTGTTTGGGTTAAATCATAACCGGAATTTGACAGGTGCCATGGCAAGAAGCTGGGGGGGAGGTGGGGGGGGAGGGGGTCGGGCTGCGAAAACGTACTCAAGTCACTGGCATTGAAGAAAGATGGGAATGGGTACACATGACGCTCACCCTAACGTATCCGGGGAAAAAGGTGTCACTGGTCTTAGTCCCCAGGCAAGTTACCTGTAAGAACTGCTCTTCTCCAAAGCAGGTGCTACAGCTATCATTTTAATGTGACCTAGTGAAATCCAAAACCAGAGTAATCCTCGGTAGCTAGGCCAAAACACGACTGGCAGTAACGCAGGCACTTTGGATTAGGCAGCAGTGTTATGAAACCAGGATAAAATCTAACCTTTCTTTCTTTACAGCTCCATGTTTGTTACCGGCCTCACACTTTTCCAAAAGGTCTTCTAAATTTCACTGTCATCAGACAAAGCTACCACGCAGGCCTCCTGAACTGGAGGGCTTTCACAAGTTAAACGCAACTGGGGCCAATCTATCCTCTCCGTATCGCCCTTCAGAGAAAAACCTCACTTGCATCCCTGTTAACAAAATCTGTGTAAGAGCTGGTGCCACTGAAAAAAATAGGAACATTTTTAATAAAAACAGGCTCAAATGCTAGTAAAACTGTTTAGAAGTACAGAAAGATGTGTGTTTTCTGCTGTTACCCCCTCAGCTCACAGAGTTTTAAAATAAGCTTCTATAGGAAGAACCAGCCTATCCAAACACAAAGCCGGGGAAACACCACTTCAGCGTCTGCTTTTCCAGACAGGCAGGTTCACAGCACGCCTTAGCTGCGCTGTCTAGAGGCAACGCGTTACTCTAAGGTCTAGTTCTGCAGCTACCCAGCGTCGCCTGGGGAGATTCTCATCCGGGTGATTACCGGCTGGCGTTGGCGTATGCAACAGCTACTGCTAGAAACCAAGGCACTGGGAAGTAACTTTTTAAGTCCCAAAAGGAAGCCCACCCCTCTTCCCACCCCCTCATCTCCCTCGCTCCAGTCTCAAACTGTCGTACCTGAAGACTCGCCCGTACTTCCATAAGCACTCCACACAACTTACACCACCTTACCCACCTGTCTACTATATGCCATCCTCAGCACGCTGGGAGAGGCACGCGACAGACAAGCAGCACAAGAAAACCCACGCTTGGGCTGCAGTTGGCCGTATGAAAGTCACGAGTTGTAAACAGCAAGGGGGAAAACACTCAAAGATTGGGAGCAAACCTTTCCACCACTGGGGCAAACATTTGCAGACGCCACCACCAACGGCCACCCAAGGGGATGAAGATAAGAAGTCTGCCGCTTTTAGAAGGAATGGTGCCTGGGTTTCTTCACACGGTAAAAACTGGTTGTTGAATTCATTGTCTTTTGCTGAGCCCAGAGCTATCGGGAGCCCATCGAACACGGCTCTAAGCACGCAAAACCTACCCACTGCAGCTGATCAGCGCAACCTCACAGCAGTGGATTCGCGGCAGTGTACACCAGTGACACCTACAAATGTGCATTCTATCTAAAGGTCAGTCAGAGGTAGGAGGGGGTAGATTACACCAAACTACTAGTCAGGCCCTACTTGAACATAGTGATGTGCAGGTAGTAATTAATGACAGTTTCCAAGGTACTAAATACAAACTAGGGAACGATTTTGCTGGCATTCAGCTACTTCTGCAGCTGCACACTGGAGCTACAGGCAGTATGTGCCAACTGAAAACATTATTATGACACAAAAAACCCAAATGTACATTCTACAAACGCTTCAATTCCAAGTCTACTTTGAGGGTTTTAAGCGGAAAACGGTGGCTTTCTCTTCAGAAGACACCATGGATATGGAGAATGGCTTGAGAGCAGTCCTGAGGACAA